GCATTATCTGTGATTATATATTTTTTATCATCTATATACGTTATTATTTATCGGTTACAGTAATTTATTCATGTTTATGACCAAGTTACTCCATAACTTTGAACGGTTTGAGGATAGCACTCACGTTACTTCGAGATCACTTGGAGTTCCACCCAATTAAACTCCTCTCAATGTGTGTACAAGCACGTAATAATATCTATATCCACTTCCACTTCGCGCCTCTGTAATTTTCATATCTTGCTCTATTATTATTTGCTACTGTAACAATAATACATATCTTAATCACTTTAATTCTCACAATTAAATATTCTGCTCATATATTTTCAAACATTTCGATTTTTTTATAATCCCGGAATGCCATCGTTATGTAATAAAAATTGTTTACATTTTTTTGCATTACTTTAAAAAAAAGAGAAAGAGAAAACGAGAGGGAAATAGAGAAGCCTGTTGATTTGCCATCATCGCGAATGCATAACTTCCGAAAAGCTAAACTAACGATGTAAAATATCATCGGTTACAATAACTTTCTCAAGTTTCTTTTAAAGTGGAAGAGAAAACAAAATACCAAAAAGAGTACAAGACAAAAAGGTTTCCGTTATAAAAATTACACGAATATTCGTAAAGGAAGATACATCGAGAAAGTTCGAGTACTACCCCACAATCGACCGCCATGCTCGTGAAGTGCATGCTCTTTTCCGGCCGTCGGAAATTTTTTTCTTTCATTTTATCAAATAATTAACGGACGTTACTTACACGTGAGTGAACAATGCATGCACCGCACTTTTGCCAAGTAATACTACAGCTATGTTGATATCCCGCGGAAATGGAAATAATTGTAATTTTAATCAACCCGATGATTACGCGGTGCACTCTCTCGCCGGGGTTCGTGTATACGGTGGACGATAATTTTGCTGTATATACGATAGATAAATATACGATCGCTGTGCCGCGTTAAATAATGCTCTTCTACGATGGTCTTCTTGAATGCCATTAATATATACCGTCATATATCTCAGTTCTGAGACAAAATGCTGCGTCTCCCATATAACGTGTTGTTTGCCATACTGATTTGTTTGTATTTGCATCTCTAGCCCGTTACTCCTCATTTTCCTTATCTAACTAGATCAATCGAACTAGATAAATTTAATTGATTGAAAACACGTAATTTAAGAAATCAAATGGATCCGTTTTTTCAAAATAAAAGTCATCAAAAAGATTTATTTCTATAAAAAAAAAAATATAATAATTGTAATGATCGTTATGTTGAATCTGCATTTTTTCCTCCTCGCTATTTCTGTAACTATATCAAACATTTTCATTTATTTGTATAATTACGATCTAATAATCGAGACTGTACTGTAATTATGCTATCTCATTGGTATTTATAACGCGTCGTCAATCCCCGATAATGACGCGTTTTCCAGGCAAATCGTAACAATTGCACCGCGAACCCCTGGACGCTCCGTTGTATACCGCGGCGAAACAATCCGTAGCAAATTAACGTAATTCACATATAAAACTTTCTCTTTCTCTCTTACAAGCATTATGTACAGTCTCCTCGTGCTCATCCGCAGCTTCTCGGAGTTTTCTGTAGATTTTAAGGGCACGGATCTCGTAACGTGACTCAATAATTACCGCAATCACGGAGAGCGCCCTTTCGTTAGTCCGGCCATATGCTGCGGACTGATACATCCCGAAGGTACAAAGATTCTCGAACTACCCGACTGTAAAACTTCCTCTCTGAATGGCGTTACTTTTTTTCTCCCCTCGGTTCTCCCCGCGAGGGAACTGCGAGGGAATCTTCCCTGGAGGTGGCCCAAAAAACGAAATGGATTTCTCCGCGGGCTATGGTGGCCAAAAATGCGGCAGCGGTGGCGCCTGTCCGATTCTGCACTTGTCAATTAAAGCCTTCGAAACGAAAAAAAAAAACTCCGGAATAAATACGGATGCGGATTACCCGAAATGAGTCTAGTATTTACGAGGCTATTTTTTTCGTTCTAAAAATTCTCGAATACAAAAACTACGAGTGAACTCGCCCCGTTACGCGGTGATAAAATGAGAGAATGTATATGTTGTTAATTTAAAATATGTTTTATTTAGTAAACATTAACTCGCGCAACAGAGTTCTTATAAAAAGCAGAACACACGAAAATGTGTATCGCTATATTCGATAGTTTTCAATCTACAGCATGTACAATACAATAATAATATTTACTATTTTATCAAATAGATAATTTTTACGTCTAGCTGCGTTGCAATCATACAAAACATGAATATTATTAATATGAAATATTCATATTCACAACAGAGTTATGAATCTTTCAATACACTTTAATAATTAAATACTTCAAATAGGTATTTTAGTTATATTATTTTTTCATTTCAGAAAAATAAACAAACATTTCCGAAAGTTTTAAAAATTATAATTTAGTTTGCAATTCGGTAGATTTGTTACCAAGTTAACTTGAAAAAGGAAACAAATCAACAAATTATTCTTTAGCTGCAATTTTTATACCTTCCCACGATTTCTTCCTTTGAAAGTTCCGATTTAACATTATAGCTAAGGAATGGACCTTATATCACATCGAAAAAAGGCACTTACATTTTATACGGGATAAATAAGTTTTAAATCTATACAAAGTTATCTAGCAGTTATTGCGCGATTTAATTAAGACTATTATTTATGAGAGCGAAATGATTTCGATAAAGTACAATATATGGAACTTAAAGAGTGAAATTGATCTTCGCCTTAATGTTTTACAAGCTCATGAATACATTCTAAGAATTTTCAAACTTACAATTTTTTGACAATTAATTATTCTAAAGAAATTTAATTCTGCTAAAAGAAAGACTTTCATTTAATTCATTTAATATAATTAAGACATACAGATAAAATCCTGTATATGTATATATATATGTAATCCTGTGATATATAATACATAAAACATTACTAAAATCATCGTTCTTTCAAAAATATTACGACCTCGTTTTATGCCATAAACATGTTCCATTTTATGGTTGGATATCATCATATTATAATAAAAATAAAAGCTATTTTTGTTAAAGCTTTGTACATATAAAGTAATCATTTATAAAATGTATATTAACATATTGATGATTACATATTGATGATAACATATTGATGAAGAGAATGATACATAGAAAACATTTCCACAAACAAAAAACCCAATGTTTTTTTTTTATAATTTTTTGCGCTATTCTCAAATTATTGTATACAATTGTAAAAAATTTTGTTTGCAGCATTTATTTATCTAATTCCATCATTTTTTGCTATTCTTCCTTTATTTCTCAAATTAACTTGTTTTCTATATAACAATTATCGACAATTATATTAGCACTTAGACTCTTTCTTTTCCTATTTATCATGAAAGTTTTACGTTTTATTATTTGATTCTAATTTTTCATCTGTCTTACGTGTATCAATATTTTCTATGAACATAACTTCATCCGAATTAACTGTGGTTTTATTGCTTGATGACTCCTCTTTCTTTTTATTAATACTGATAAATGTAGCTAACATATTCTGTCGAGATTTTTCCGAAAAATGTTCTCCTCTCCCTACAGAGATTAAAGTTGCTCGTTTAGGAGGTCTTTGTAGTGGAGGTAATTTCGATATAACGGGGGTTTGATCGACTTTTAATTGTTTCTTAGTTTCCTTTTGATTGAATTTCGCTGTCGCTTGTTCTTTTGTCTCTTCTTGATCAGATCTCGTTGTTGATTGATTTTTCGTTTCTTCCTGGTCGGATTTTGTCAATTGTTTTTTCATCTCTTCCTGTGTGATTTTCTTAGTGAATTGAGTAATAAGTGGTACGTGTTTCTTTTCTTTTTCTTCCTTTTCTTCCTTCTTATCAGCTGGAATATTTTCAGTGTCGCCTTTCCGATTTGATCTCAAATACTTCCAGCTGTTAGGCAACGATAAGTTGGTATCGGGAAAATATTGTTTTCGAATATGCTCCGGAACATACCAACAAGATTTGAGATGCATCGGTCCCTCTTCAGGACATGCTATCTTATTAGCGATTTCATTGATCTTTGACAATACGCTAACTTTTGACAAATAACTCCCATCATTTCTGTTCCAGAATGTTATAAACTCTCTCATAAGAGTAAGTCTGCCGTCTCTGTTTCCATGCACTAATCGGATCAAATCGGGCACAGCTTCATCAGGAAATTTAGTCTTCTTTGATCCTCTCATAGATTGTTGAGAAGGTGTTTTACATTGAACATCAGCCGAAATATCCTCTTCTGGTAATTCTGTCGATGGAAATATTATCGGTATATTACTAACCCAAGCTTGTCGCGCTGATAAGAACTCTTTGATCTTAGCAGGAACTGAAACAAATTTGAATTTGTGATTATACATAACTGTAAGACAGATAATAGAATATAATAATATAATATAATATAATATAATATAACATAATATAATATAATATAATATTATAGTGTAATAATTTTTATATTAATTCTATATATTATACTAATATATATCTGTAAATAACATATACTCACTAGATTCCGGAAATAAATTGTCCGGTCCTTGCCAGATGCATCCAATTATTTTTGGCTTAAGTTTGTAGGTCTTTGCATTTCTTTCGGCTTCAAATTGCTCTCCCAATATTTTCAGTTTTATCTTCTGTGTTTGCGGCGACTGTAACAGAAACATATACTTTGTACTGATCTCTCTGTATTTTAAACTGTAGGGTTTACTTACTTACTTACTTATACTTATAATTTTTTAAATAAGAACAATTAAATAAGAACATTTTTTCTGTTTTCATCATTATAATATACTTACCATATCCTCCATTTCTTCTTCATCAGCTTGCGCTTCTTCATCAGACAAATATCTAAAAGTACAAAACATTTTTTTTCGTTTTATTTTTAGAACACCTTTTCCAAATATCAAAAATTAAATAATAAGGAGCATACAAGCAAAAATGATATGTTCATGCAAATGTTTATAATAGAGAAGTTAATAGAGAAAAGTAGATACATAAATAATTGATAAACAATACATAAATAAATGATAAATAAAAAACATATACGTTTCGATCTTATATTAGGTCATCTTCAGTGTGAAAATTAAAAATTAAAAAACAAGACTTAAATTATATTATAACGATGATCTTAGTAAAAGCGCTCAAGAAAGATATAATCAATTCGGTAAAAATGTATAAGTAAGATTTGATTGAAAAGTATAAATAAAGTTCAGTAAATTGTTGAAATATAAAAAACTAGGCAGATATTTCGCAACGCAAATATAATACATTCGATGAATTAGTATAAATAAAAATCAGTTAAAATGTAAAAAAAGTTCAGTCAAATTATAAAAACAGAATTATAATTACGTATTTTTTAATATGCAAAAATAGACGATACAAGCATTAAACACTTATGTATGTAACAATTAAAAAATTATTATTATTATTATATTCTGTTAAAAAAATTATTTATGGCACATGAAAAGAAATCAACATTATTTGAAATATATCTCGCATTTAGTTTAATCTCGATATATATTTAATCAATTTTATTTACCCGTGAGGAACCATGAATTCATTATCGACGTCGTATTCGTTTTCTTCCGTATTTTCTTCATCTTTCTCATCATCTGATCCTTTAAGAGATTCACCAGGTTCTTCTTCTTCCCATTCGTCATCAGAATCGACTTCATAGTCAAACCATTTCTGGAAAATAAAACATACTTTTTTCTTATATAAAGATACACAACATACTATCTTTTGTAATTCTCATAAACATAAAGCTTTGTATAATAATTTTATTTTTCACTCTCGAACTATACAAAATCTTTTATTTCTCTATCTAATTATATCAAGAATAGCTTCACATTGATAAAGACTATTGTATCTTAACTGTAATGAGCCAGTTATCGTTCTGTGGATATATGAACTAATCTAAAAAAATAGTCAAATAGTCAATGAGAAAAATTCACCTCTTTTTATCATATTATCAATTCCCATTTGTTATAAAAATGACAGAAAATAAATGTTATAAGCAATAGGGATAATATAATTCCAATTTATGCAGTCTTTGTTTAATGTTTAATTGACAAATTTAGCTGCCATTATTTAGCGCTTATTCCGAAAACGCATTGATCTTGCAATGCGTGTTTCTAAGTGTCTTACACAGATTTCAAGTAATTTAGAATTTTAGACAGCTTGATGATCACATTATCGTATAATTTTTCTGAATTTGTCAACTAATTTATCTTGGTTTCGGCTACAAAGAATCTTGTTGGAATTTATAATGAAGCAGGACGTCCATATCAAAGCAACTTCCTCAACAAGCGATATCTCGGCTTTGCAATCATCTCCAATGTGGTGGCCCGCACGCATTCCCGATTCTCTTAGTCACGAAGCTGTAGTCGGCCGCTGACCGTTCTATCAAAATGTAGATTCAAGTTTCTCGGCATTTTTCGTTTCCGCGACGGTCTCGGTGAAGTGCTGAAACGCCGCCCGATTGTTTTCGCCGGTTAGTCGCGGATCAAAGATAGGCCTCGTTGCGGAAATATCGTAATGCGTAAAACCGCTCTTTCGAAGTATCGATCCCTGACAAATGTGATGTGGTATCATCGTGAAAAGTACGAAGTTTCGCGGTATATAATTACACTTTAGCCGCTTGGTTGAACGGCTTACAATATACCGCTTGTTATTCGCGTGCAACTTGGTAGCTTATATTAAGTAGCTATTTTCACCTTTGCGTTCGCGACGCTCTGGTGTAGCTTGTTGAGTAGCTATTTTTGTGATTACTTTTTGCTCTTAACGATTTTGCGTTAAGAGACGATTAAGGCGGGATGAATTGGCTGCGTGCTATCGCATATGCGCATTATCGGGTTGCCACTTTTGAATGATAACAGTCGCATGTCCAACGAAGCGTGATAATTTCAGGCATATAATTGAAATCAATTAGTTTGAAACAGGTAATAAAATTCATCGCGATAGTACGGTATTCCTCGCCGAAAAATCGATAAATTTCCCTCTCCTGCCCCTCCCCTCTCTCTTTCTTTCTCTCGCCCCTTCCCTCTTTTCTCTTTGCGCCGCGGTGCGAGATATTCTTTGTTCGATAAATCAACGTCGATTTCATCCCTACGTGAGCATCAATTACAAGACTCTTCTTGAGACATTAATTTATTATCGGGGAGAAACGTAATCTCACGGGCGATTGATACACTCGTCGCTGAGGCGAGTAACACAAAAACAATCGCCGGTTCATCGCTAATAAATAAAAAAGGAAAAGAAAGAACGAAGAGAAAGAGTGTATGTTCAAGCAGCTTTTGGCAGCGATACGAAGGTACGTATAACGTCTCGCCAATAATTAATACGATGTCCCAGATCTCAGCCGTATTTCTTTTTAACTGTGGATTCCTTAATCATTTTCAAGCCGATTTCATATGCTCTATACGAGCGTATCGAAGTGCTAAACATTTTTTAATTATACGAATGATTTAAAACAACGGAACTTCAAATGTACTTTACTTCAACGAATAACCACAGCTAAAGACAATATCTCCAATATTGAAAATTAATGAGAAAAAGATAATAGAAAATAAAAGATATAAATATCAGATATAAAATTTTCAATCGGAAAGGATTAATTCGATATTAACAGAAAAATTCGATATTTTAAAAAAAAAGAAAATTGATTTGTACGCAAACTGTGTTGCTAATTTTCCAAATGTAATTAGAATAACAGCGCGCGCGTATGTGTGTATGTGTGTATGTGTGTAAAAGCACTATAATACTTTCTAAATTTGTAGAATTAAAAATGATTACTTCCCAATTACTAACGCACGATTGATAAACTATATCACTCACATTACTCGCTGATTTTACAATCAACATCCGCTTTTACGGTTGAAATTAATCCGGTGTCACAGTCATTCCGATTAGAGGCGTGAAGAATTCAGAACAGATTTACACCATCACCGAAGGCACCCTCCTCACGTATGCATAAACGCACGCGTGCACGCACGCGTGCACGCACGCACGCACGCAGGCGCGCATACATGCGTGGAAGGATGATGCGAGATGCACACGCCCAAGAAGAAAAGCGCAGTTATCGGCCCGAGGGCGCGATGGATGTGCTCAATGTTGCGCCGATGCACGCCGCAAAGCGCTTTACATTATTTACAGCGTGTTGTCGCCCGGCGGGCCATCTGTAATGGCTGTTTTATGCCCCATTAAGATTACGACCGGTGCTCCTCGTAACGTCGTGCACACCGTAGATTAGGCGGCCCGGCAATCGAACTGATTTATTTTCCGAATATTCGGTTAGACCTCCTGCACTTCGTTATTGAGTTAGCGTGACGACGGCCACTCCGCATGGAAATCTGAGACCCCCGGTTCCACGTGAATTGTCATCACGAATGGTATAATTCTAGAAATTCAGATATCAGTCGCCCACTTGCGAGCGAACGTTTGTAAAGTTGCAGTTCAACGGAATAAATATTAAAAAAAATAATATATATATATATACATTTAATGGAGAGGAGATACCTACTTTTCTAAGAAAATTTAAAAAATCGATTTTTTTGGTCATTTTTAATTACATACTTCTCTTTAAGGAGAAAAATTAAGAGACGATATCGATATTTTTTTTTTACAAAACTAATGATGAAAACTTGATATATCATAATTAATAAAAAAAAATCTGAAAAAAATCCTAATAAATTAATTTCCGTACGCAAAACTGATAATCAAACAAATAATCAATCACATTTTCTATAAAAATGTGACAATTGTTAATAAGTGCGGTCGAATTTTTAATTTCCTAGAAAAAAGATGGCACGTGCACAACATGTAACTATTCGTAATTCAATGCACGTAATTCAATGCGTTCTAAAATGCGTCTTTCATAAAAATCATGCACATGTTATCGCCGAACGCATAAATTTCACGCAAAGTGGATTAGTGCCAATCGGCTTAATTACAATATACATTTTATATAATGTCACACTTTTGAGGCTATACATTCGTTTCATCTGCAATACATGACAGATAAAACAAATCTTTTCTTATGTGTTGTTTTACATATAAAAATAAAGTCCACTTAAATGCAATAAACTTTAATAACAAAACCTAACAAATTTGAAAAAAAAGATAATTATGATCAAGACAATTTTAGAAATCCTTAATAACGGAAAAATATTCGTGTAAGAGGAGATTCCAAATGTCCATAAAAAAATAGATAAAAAAATTATTTTTAGTTTCGATTCAACCTTCAGAAAGAATCAAATCGAGCTGCCTGACGAGAACCTGCAATGTGATATACGGTCGATGGAAATTGATACCTGATATATGGCGCACAGGTACTGAAAGGGTTAAAGCTACGCATGTGAGTTGCTCGCGAAAGCGCAATGTTCGCGGAATATTACGTAGCGTATACGAACGTCAGTGTGAGATATCGTTTCTCTGGACACAATAAAACACGAAATCAATCCGATATCCGCGCGTGCTAGTGGATTAGATGTCGGTATAACCGTGGATATTTCTATCCTCCTCGCGTATCCTCCTTTTCTTTCTTGTTAAATCTTTTGACCATGCTTTCTCATGTGGCTTCTATCTATATTATGTTCACGTTATTATTTTATATCATAAATATATAACACATCTATTTCTATATTTTTCTTGAAACTCGATATCTTTCAAAACTCAATTACTATATCTAAGAAATTTGAGAAAAGCTTCTAAGAAATATCGTAATCTCTTTCAGGCATACTATGTTTATCTGTTTATTAGATGAACCCTTGTAATCTGAATGTTCGGCAAAAACATTACGTATAATATAATAATGCAAAAGTAAATAAATACAAGAGTTCCTCTATTAGAGAAAAATAATTTTACTTTTTGCTCTTTTCCTCTCTCTCCCTGATTTCATTCTCGAAACGGACACGAGCGCAACTCGCGAAGATATATCGGATCGCTCGCGGCCGCCAGATAATAAAATGAATCCGCCAGATAAACGTGCTGTCGATGGATCACTGTGTCGTCACTAAGCCGTGGTCTGTTTTTCATAATGCACCATAAACCGCGATAACTATACCTTTTAGCGCCGCTTCCCCAATCTAGAATCGAATATCTACGTCAACAGACGCCGAATTCTCGTGTGAAAATAAAAAAATTACAGATATTACCGCCAAGTTTCTCTCGTGTACAATATTATATCTTCATTTCTTCAAATAGCTGGAGATATACTCCTTATGTATTTATCTCATTACGCATGATAACGTTATTAAAGAACAATTTTTATGTTTTTTTTTCTATGCATTCGTTAATGCAACTAATTTGTAAAGTAAAATTCTAATTGTATGTGTGTGTGTGTGTGTGTGTGTGTGTGTGTGTGTGTGTTTTGTTTGTGTATTTTAGAATCGTAACTATGAAAAATTACCACTGACACCGATAATCGTATAATCCCAAGATTGATATAAAGATACGTCGACGCGTTTATCATCTCTTCAGGATGCAACGAGGAAATGCCGCAACACGTTTAATCCCCAAGATCGTTTACAGTGTATTTCAAACAGAGTATCTAACATCCCTTTGATTCTTAGTGAGTGCCGATTATATCCAAGAATATAATATAGAGATTATGCCTGTGGCACAAATGACCCAAATTTAATCTGATCGTTATAACAATAAACCACAATAAAGTATAGATTGAGATGCCTAGCCTATTCTCCGTCTTATTAATTTTTTATAGAACTTTTGCCCAAAGATAAATTTCTCTGAAAAATTTTTACATCTTTATCTACACCTATGTCGTGTTATTTTCCGACCAACCACAGATCATGTCCGAATTATCAAAATGAGAAACAATATGTGCAATGTTATATCTGAGGTCAACCTCACACCGATAAAAAAGAAGTCGAACTCCTAATGACAGTGGCTCTTGGATGAGACACCTTTATCGAAATTCCATGTCGCGTTCTAGGTCAAAGCCATCAGCAAAACGCAACAGACTACGCGCGAAATTATCGATTCTCGTTTTGCTTTTCGATGTGTTTCGCTTTTTCTCCTTCTCAACGGTAAAGCAATTCGTGAAGATTTCTTCTTCGGGTCAATGGCTGATGATAGATATTCATTACCAATGAATTTTTGTTGGAAGACAACCAATGTTGAAAAATTCATAAAAAAATATATTCTAGAGATGATCACTTAAAAATGTCTCTGATTCTATTAATTTGTATAATATTATAATGTATAATATACTATATAATGTGTGTATTATATTTTTGTATTATATCGTTATAAATTATATCGTTTCTATGCAGAAGAAAATTCGACTTTTGACTGATATGTTTTGAAAGCATGTGTGACTGATATGTTTGGAAAATAACTCGGTCATATGCCTGTGAATCCTGAACTTTTATAAGAGAAAGAAAATGTATACATATGTTCTATAAACATATGTACACTTAAAAATCGATATTCATTTCACAAAGGAGTAAAATTGGAAAAATTTTGTGATACGAAACCAATCATGAAACTTGACACAAACACAGTAAAATAGTAAAGTAAATATGAAGAATAAAATGTGAAGAAATGTAATTAAAATCAAGTAACTAAATGAATAGTCCTGGCTAAACATCAGAAAATGGATCCGAAAATGGATCGGTGTGTCCACTTGCTACCCATACAATCTCACTTTGACAATAGAATAACATTGTTCGTCAGATTTCTTTGGATTTTACTTCATACCATGTCTGTGTCAAATTTCATGACGATTGATGACAAAATTTTCTCAATTTTGCATACTTCTTTTACAGTAATAATTTATCATTTATGTCCATTTCTATATATACATTAATTTCGCATTAATCTATCGCATCTATTCTTTTTTTAATTCTTAAAAATTAGAAAAAGATAAAATGTAAGTTTAAATTAAATCAAGTTAAATTTAATATATC